TCTCTAAACCCACAGCTTCGCTTACAAATTCCACGACCCTGGCGCTCCCGGCATTCCCGCGCGCGCACGCCGCGTCTGATTTGCATGTACCGCCCCCTCGCGAGGGGCGTGACGATCTCAGTGAGAACCTCGGAGGCGGACGGTGGCCGAAGAAGGAGAAATCTCCTTTCTCCGCGAGGCTTGGTCCCGAGCCAGGAGGTCGGCGCTGTGGTCCAGAAGCTTGTCCCAATCCTGAAGTTGTGTGACTGACACCGCGTCCTCCCTCCCCTCACCTGGTGACTTAGCACAGACCGAAGGCCTCTCCTATGCCCATCACAAGAGCGATCCAGGCTATTGTAGCTAACTCAGCCCTCTGGCTCTCTTACTCCAGTCTGGGCACTTTATTGGCTGTAGTGTCATCAGGACTTCTCTCAGTGCCCCAGCCCTTGCCAGGTGCCCAAGGTGCATCAGGTACTCTAGGTACCCAGCGAGACGTTTGTGGGGTGATCAAGGCTCGGGTAGGCAGTGATGCCAACACACCCAGAATCAGTTGGGGGACTGCTGGCCTGATTCAGAGGTCAGTAAAGATGTCCGACTTAGTGATAGCACATCAAACAAGTGTGGGTACTGCTCTGAGAGAAGATAGTCAGGCGTAAAGATGGGGCCCTGATTTTCTCTCTTTTCTTTTTCTTTTTTTTTTTAAAGATTTATTTATATTTATTGCATATACAGTGTTCTGTCTACACACCAGAAGAGGGCACCAGATTGAACTGTAGATGGTTGTGAGCCACCATGTGGTTGCTGGGAATTGAACTCAGGACCTCTGGAAGAGCAGTCAGTGCTCTTAACCTCTGAGCCATCTCTCCAGCCCCTCTCTCTTTTCTTCTTTATGCTTATTTGTGTTTACTTTTCGAGACAAGGTTTTCTCTTTATAACAGCCCTGGCTGTCCTAGAACTTGCTTCGTAGACCAGGCTGGCCTCGAACTCACAGAGATGCTCTGAGTGTTAAAGGCCAGGGTAGGGGCTCACTCTCCGTTATGTAGCTTTGGCTGCTCAGGAATTCATGGCCTCGAACTCTTGAGATTTTGAGGGTGAAGGGGCAGTTTCGACAGGGTTTCCCTGTGGCTTTGGAGGCTGTCCTGGAACTAGCTCTTGTAGACCAGCTGGTCTCGAACTCACAGAGATCCACCTGCCTCTGCCTCCCGAGTGCTCGGATCAAAGGCGTGCGCCACCAAAGCCCGCCTAATGGGAGAGCTCTAACGTTTGTTCAAAGTCAGATTTGGCCAGCTTTCTGGTTGAGTGACCTTGGGTAGAGTTCTTTCGTACTCTCCATACTTCATAGGCCTCAGCTGTGCCCTAGAAAGGATTGACTGTTTGGAGTTGGTAGATCGGAGCATGGCATGCAACGGCGTTCAGACAGTGGTTCCCTTCTAACTTCCTTCTCTCTGCTTTGCTTCACCTCTGAGCCTCTGGTGCTGCAGCAAGCAGCCTGTCACTCCTGCTCCCGAGATGTGACTCATTTCCTAGGATCTTGGCTTTCCAAGTACTGGATTAAAGGTGTGTGTCACCCCATCTGGTCCCAGTCCCCATTTTTTTTATTTGTTTGTTTTGTTTTGTTTTTGGAGACAGGTTTTCTTTATATTGTTTTGGAGGCTGTCCTGGAACTTGCTCTGTAGACCAGGCTGGCCTGGAACTCACAGAGATCCGCCTGCCTCTGCCTCCCGAGTGCTGGGATTAAAGGCGTGCACCACCAACACCCGGCTCCCCGTCCCCATTTTTGACAAGGCTTCTGGGAAATGCACAGCAAGCACTTCACCAACTGAGCTGTGTTCCAAGTCCCTTTGGGCTGTTTGTTACTTTCTTCATTCAAGGTGTCCTTAAGTGACCCAGACTATCCACAAACTTGGGTCTTCTTACGTCAGGTGCCCAACTATTCCCATTACAGGTACGCTCTGTAATACCTGGCTTAAATTTAGTAATCTGTTGAATTCAACATCCCCAAAACAGATTTAAGTTACAGGCATTTTACAATTAGCCACTAGGTTCAAAATCCTACATCCATTTTATACTTACTAAAATATGTCTTTATTAAGTGAAAGATTTTAGTAGGCCACACCTTAAATTTTGCCTCAGAAGACTTCTGGATAACACGCCCCCACTAACAGGGCTGCATTCTGACTTGGGCCGTAGGCATCTGAAGGGGTTAAACTCTCCCACTTTTTACAACTGAATCTAAGTTTCATGTCTCTGAGGATGGATACACAGGTGTCTTTTGTAACAAAGGGCCGTTTGTCTACAAGGCCTTTACAATCAGGATCAAGGAAGAGAACAAACAGAGGGTCTAAGTCATCCTCACAGTATCTCAAGGACAGACCCAGCTGCCCCCTTCTGAGTCACATCCAAGCTTGTGCAGATGTGTCCAAAAGTGATAAGACCAAACCTCGGCCAATTAGAAATATACTAATGACCTTAATTAGTTAATGCTTGCTTAACTAATTATGTAGCTGACCCTGAAACTCCCCTTAGATGTGCTCAAAAGTTGCTGCCCGTCCCTCTCAGGGCCATTGCAGGGTCCTCCCTGCAGGTGGGGGGGGGGAGGGCCGGTCCAGCTGGCCTCTTCCCGGGAGCTGAGCAGCTGAGTGGGATGGTGAGCATCGACGACTCAGACTCTTCCCCATTAGTTACCAGGGAGGAAAAAACCACACTGAGTCGGGAGTCTGTGGAAGCAGGATCTCAATTTATTTCAACATGCAGGAACTTACATACTGAGGTAGGGGATGGGAATCTTAGGATAGGGTAAGGTGACGTGAGGAGTTAAGGGCCAATAGTATCCCACCAAGCAGGCAGGTAGCTAGGCAGGGGGCAATCTTGCATCAGATCTGGCTGAGTCACCCCGACGTGGAGGTTACAGGTTAGAGACAGGTCGCTAAACTCTAGCCAGGCTCAAGAGGTTACACTGGGCCTCACATCCGAGCCCAAAACTCAAGACAGGCTTAGGAGCTTACATGGGGCCTCGCATCCAAGCCTTTCTTAGGCCCAACAGGCCATTACCATTTTTGTGCACGTGAACGACCCCACATGCATGCTGGTATAAGATGATCTTTGTGGTTACATACTATTTGAATCTGAGGTCTTCCTCCAGCGTTTCCTCGGACCCTACACAGTCCAGGACTGTTTCTACGTGGTCTCCTTGGCCATGCAGCTATGCAGTTTCCTCTTCCGCAGCGGGAATGACAGTTCCACGGTCCTACCTGTGAAGAGCTCTGCTGCCCCGAGAGCTAAGGAAAGTTCATCCACACAGCCTACACTTGAGCGTCCAGAGGGCTATGCTCCAGGGTTACTGCTGAGTGACTTCATTGTCCAACAAAAGTTTATAAATTTAAAAGCCTGTTTTAGGGCTGGAGAGATGGCTCGGCCGTTAAAGGTTAGGTTCACAACCAAAAAAGCTTGTGTTGGGCCAGGCATTGGTGTCATATGCCTTTTAATCCCAGCACTCAGGAGGCAGAGGCAGGTAGATCTCTGTGAGTTCGAGGCCAGCCTGGTCTACAAGAGCTAGTTCCAGGACGGGCTCCAAAGTAATACAGAGAAATCCATAGTGAATATGTGGAGATCAGAAGTGGCAGGAGTAGCTGTCTCCTTCAGGTGCGTGGGTCAGGAATGGAACTCGTTACCCTGCTTAGCAGCGAATATCCTTATCACTGAGCACTTGCTGTCCCCATGCCCCACCAAGACAAATAAAGGGGCTGTGCAATTACTTTGCAGAGGGAACCATGAGCTTCCAGAGCCCGTGCATGCTAACTAAGTTTGTTTTCAGGGCTGGCATTTTGGGAGTTGGCGTGGAATAAAAACCATTTGGGCATCTTCTTTCCTCCCACCCACGACGTTGACCCAAGTGACTGACCAAAACCTCCAACTTAAAAGTTCTTCAGTGAAAAAAGGGAAAATGTCAATGCTATCTGCCCGCAGAAACTTATTGTCTGCCCCCTTTCCATCTTGACCTCACAACATTTTCCAGAACTATTGATGGTAGCCGATGTTATAGGAGATACAATATATTTATTTACCAGAGAGAGAGTCACCCAAGCTAGGAGTTAGAAGCCTGGCTGGCTTCCAAGAAAAAGGGAGAGCCTTTTCCTTTCACTTCCTTTTATCTCTACCTGTGCTAATTTACTTGTCCCCACCCTCATGGGCAGATAGCTTTGTGGGGTTCACTCCTACACAGAACACCCCCAATATCCTGCTCCCCTCTGGTGTTTTGTCACCCCTTGCCCCCTGAATCAGGCCAGGGGCTCCCAGATGCTTCTTATTCTGGGCTTGTGTGCGGCACCACACAAACGTTTGCTGAACACTGCGTGCTGTGCTCTCAACAAGGGCAGGCACACCCAAGTCCCAAAGATACCACAGCGCGCAAAGATGCAGACCGCAGTACAGAAGTAACAGTAATTGCCCAACCTAGAGCACCAATGAATTAGGCACCAGTGTCTGGAGATGAATTTATTCAATGTGTGCATACACGTTTGCTTGGTGTGAGTTACTATGCTCCACACGTGTATAGTCTTAACAGGCACGGGAAAGCTGCAGATCGAGCTTGCGGCGGCTCACAAACAGCTTTAGGAAGACGGGGACACCCGACGCTGTGCGGTCCTTCAGGGACCAGGTGAAGGAGCGGAGGTCACGGTGTCAGTCACACAGAGCTTTTGGAGGAGCGGTGCAGACCAGAATCCCTCCCCTTTCACCAGTCTCGTCCATTCGTTCCCAGCGGAACCAGTCACTCGGCCGACAGGCGAAGCTCTTCCTCAGCCCAAGCAGAATTAGACAAACGGATCCGAAAAGCGGTTACCGTCCTCTTACTTTGCCCTTCAGGAGCTTCCCGCTGCGGGCCCGCCCTCGAATTTACGTTTCCGGTGGAGTATAAACCGGAAGTGCTCCGGAGCCAGCACGAGCACCATGCGGATGCTGCCCGGAGTTCCGGTCCACCACGCCCTCGCGAGGGGGCGGGGCATGCAAATCAGACGCGGCGTGCGCGCGCGGGAATGCCGGGAGCACCAGGGTCGTGGAATTTGTAAGCGAAGCTGTGGGTTTAGAGAGCGAGCGTGGGGTGCGGAGGACGCGGACGAGGACGCCAAGGGGAAGGAGACGCGGGGAGGGGCCAGGGGTCAGGTTTGCGAGCGGTCACCACGACGTTGGTGTGGCCGGCGAGCGCGGGGCAAGGCTGCGCGGGTAGTGCTCGGTATCGCTTCTCGGCCTTTTGGCTAAGATCAAGTGTAGTATCTGTTCTTATCAGTTTAATATCTGATACGTCCTCTATCCGAGGACAATATATTAAATGGATTTTTGGAAGTAGGAGTTGGAATAGGAGCTTGCTCCGTCCACTCCACGCATCGACCTGGTATTGCAGTACCTCCGGGAACGGTGCACCCCCTCGGGGAATAAGACCTGTTAAAAAGTAGAGTTTAAGTTCTGAGAGCTGTGGTTTAGCGTTTTTTTTTTACCGTTTGCCTATTTCAGGGTGTCTTTTCCGTGTGCTCCGAGTGTCTAAGGGATCTGAGAGAAAATGCTGGCTGCGGTTTTCCTAGATACGAAGTTAAACACCCGGTCGAGCTCTCTACTGTTCCTCTCATTTGAACTATATTTCATGTGATTTCCAAGTTTCCCCGTTGTTTTAAGTCTCACAACATGTTGTAAGAAATCCTAGGGCCACAGAACAGCCACATAGGCACATCCTAGAATTGAAATGAGGGGCACAGCACTAGAGGGAATTGAAGGAGATTCTGGAAGCCCGATTCCCACTCACACAAGCCTAGGGGAGGTGTGACTGTACAGTGGAACTCGCGATGTAGTTCCAGCAATCTCCTGCTTTCACCTCCTGAGCACTGGGATGGAAGGTATGGGTCGGGTCTCTGGGTCTTGCTTATGAGGTACTGGGGATCAAACCAGAACTTCCTGTAGGCTGTGTAGTTAAGCTTAACTCCGGGTCAGCCGTCCTTGTGAAAATGGAACTGGGCCCTTAACTTGTTTTGTTTAGTTTATTCCTTTGCCAGATGGCCAAATGAACAGGCAGCGGGACAGGCTGAAAGAAACCTACAGCAATACATACCCCCCCACCAAACACACACACACACACACACACACACACACACACACACACACACACACACACACACACACACACAAATTTACTCATATTTTAAAATAAAAAGGTATGTTAAAAGATAACTGGTTTGAACACAAAAGTACATTTATTTTGAACACAAAGGTACATTTATTTTAGGGAGTAGTTTTTGCATAGATAAAACTGATAACATTAAAATTAGGGGTTTTGTTTTGTTTTATTCTTTGCCTCCACAGAAATTATAATCTCTTGTGAAGTACAAAACACCGGGCATTGGTGGCGCACGCCTTTAAACCCAGCACTCGGGAGGCAGAGGCAGGTGGATCTCTGTGAGTTCGAGGCCAGGCTCGACAGACAGCCTCCAAAACAATACAGAGAAACTTTGTCTCATAAAAACAAAAAACGAACAAAAAACAAAACAAAACAAAATTCTCAAGATGCTAAGGCACACAGGAACAGGAACAAGACAGGCAGGTGCTTCCTTGACTTAGAGCCTGGACTTCTTAAAAGATTCCTTCATTCTCCTGACCACAGAAAGGTCCCCAAGTCCTGCAGGCCAGTTGTCGTGATCTGTTTAGTAAGTGGAAAAGGGCGTGTCACTTGCAAATCTCTTAAACCTTTGTCCTAGTTTCTACCCACATTTCTACCCACATGCTTTTGCTTGCTTGCCTGCTTGTGTTTTTAACTCACCAAGGCTAGGAAAAAGAAATCTGTAGGACAAACAGTGTTGCAAGGATCCTTAGATTGGAATGCCAGGCAAGCCTCCCGCTAGCTTTCTCAGTTGGAAAAACTTCTGTGTGTAAAGGGAGGAACTGTCAGTGCCTCCCACCTCCTGCCCCAGGTTATTCCTTAAAAGCGGGCATCTTAGCCGGGCGTTGGTGGCCCACGCCTTTAATCCCAGCACTCGAGAGGCAGAGGCAGGCAGATCTCTGTGAGTTCGAGGCCAGCCTGGTCTACAAAGTGAGTTCCAGGACAGCCTCCAAAGCCACAGAGAAACCCTGTCTCGAAAAACCAAAAAAAAAAAAGTGGGCATCTTTGTGTGCTGATCCAACACAGGCAGATTCAGAACCATGCAAGTCATGCTAAGATGAAGTCCTTCTCTCCTGGCTCTCTGATGCGGGGGGGGGGAATGTGGCCAAAGAGAAAGATGACCTAATGGGAACAAACACAGAGGAGGAGGAGAAGGTGGGCTTTGGTAAGTCTTGCCTGCTTAGTGGGCCAACAATAACTTCCTTTACTGACAGGTAAACCGTGACCAGCAACCTAAGCCACACAGAGCTTGACGCCATGTGCAAACTACCTTAATCCCCCAGGAAATACATTCCTGTTTTCCTTTTGAGACAGGGTCTCTCTACATAGACCTGGCTGTCCTGGAATTCACTATGTAGACCATAGACCAGACTTCAAATTCACAGAGATCTCTCTGCCTCTGCCTCTTGAGTGTTGGGATTAAGGGTGTGTGCCATCATGCCTGGCTTCTCTTTCCTTTTCTGAAGAAAAACAGCTCAGCCCCCAGGAAGCAGCATGGATTCAACTCCACCGTGCTCACTACTGATTAAATACCACCTCAGAATTTTTGTCTTTGCAACTGAGGTCCTAGCAATTATAGTAGTAGGATTGTGGTGGTGCACACCTTTAACCCCATCACTTGGAAAGCAGAAGCAGGTGGCCAGCCTGGTCTACATAGTGAGTTGCAGGACAGCAATGGTAACATATAATATAATACCCTGTCTCAAAACACCAAAACAAACAAGCAAAAATCCAATCAACTAACCATTTGTAGTATTAAGGGTATCACCACATCATTGTAGACATCCACAAGGATGGGAGCAGACTGGTGGCAGGCAGTCTTATCAACCACGTGTTAATCTGCTAACAGCCACACTTGTAACTGCCTTTGGAAAGAGGTCACACACACACACACACACACACACACACACACAATATTCTGAAGTTTGGGGATTTTACCATGCCTTTTTTTTTTTTTTTATTTTGGTTTTTCGAGACAGGGTTTCTCTGTATTGCCTGGAAATGGTCCTAGAACTCATTCTGTAGACCAGGCTGGCTTCAAACTCAGAGATCTGCCTGCCTCTGCCTCCCTAGTGTTGGATTAAGGGCATGTGCCACCAATACCCGGCCATGTAATATTGAATTTACAAAGAATTTACAAAAGTGCAATTTCAAGCCAAGCATCATTGCATACACCTGAAATACCAGTACTCGGGAGGCTGAGGGCAGCCTGGGCTACACAGAGATTTTGTCTCAATAAAGTAAAATAAATACTGCTTTTATGAATTAAAAATGAGTGGAGGCTGGAGAGATGGCTCAGTGGTTACGAATTTTGACTACTCTTCCAGAGGACCAGGGTTCAAGTCCCAGCACTCACATGGCAGCTCACAGCTGTCTGTAACTCCAGTTCCAAGAGATCTGACACCTTCACACCAATGCACGTAAAATAAATTTAAATAAATTATTTAAAAAAACAATTGAAGACAGAAACGGATCATTATATAGACTCCAAAGAGAGGACAAAGTAGACTTGGACTGCATAGACCCTTCCATCTATGCGAACCACTTACTAGATGGGGAAGGGGAATTAGATCTATAAAATATGTAGGCAGCCTCTGCCTACAGAAAGACTCAGACCTCATAGACCGACCTACAGTTCAGGTGGTCGTGAGCCACCTAATGTGGGTCCCGAGAGCCAAACCTGGGTACTCAGTAAGAGCCCTATGTGCTTTTGTTGTCGTTGTTGTTTTTCAGGACAGGGTTTCTCTGTAGTCTTGGCTGTCCTGGAACTCACTCTGTAGACCAGGCAGGCTGGCCTCGAACTCAGAGTTCCTACTGAGTACTGGGTTTACAAGTGTGTGCTGCTACCATCTGAGTTCAACACATGCCCTGAACCACTGGCCAATCTCTCTAGTTCCACAAGTACTTTTTTTGGGGGTAGGGTGGTTTCGAGACAGGGTTTCTCTGGCTTTGGAGGTTGTCCTGGGATTAGCTCCAGTAGACCAGCTGGTCTAGAAGTCACAGAGATCCACCTGCCTCTGCCTCCCGAGTGCTGAGATCAAAGGCGTGCGCCGCCAATGCCCACCTAATGGGAGAGCTCTAACGTTTGTTCAAAGTCAGATTTGGCCAGCTTTCTGGTTGAGTGACCTTGGATAGAGTTCTTTCGTACTCTCCATACTTCATAGGCCTCAGCTGTGCCCTAGAAAGGATTGACTGTTTGGAGTTGGTAGATCGGAGCATGGCATGCAACGGCGTTCAGACAGTGGTTCCCTTCTAACTTCCCTTCTCTCTGCTTTGCTTCACCTCTGAGCCTCTGGTGCTGCAGCAAGCAGCCCGTCACTCCTGCTCCCGAGAGTGGGATTGTGACTCGTTTCCTAGGATCTTGACCTTAGACTGGAGGTTTTCTGCATGGCTGGGGACATGGGACTAAGAAGCTGGTAGAAAGACAAGCTGGCAACAATGATGGGAAGCTTATTCAAAGTGTCTGGACACGGTGTGCAGGAGACAGCTGGGCTCTGCACTTCCGGTGCTCCTTATATACAGTGTTTAAAAGGCTAATAGTGTATTGCATAATATATAACAGAGGCCAACCTCTGGGTAAAATGCAAACATTAAAATGTGTATCACCTTGCCTTGTGGGGCACCCTCCTTTCTCTGTGCCTGCAGGTGATGAGTAATAGTGGAGATTGTGTTCTCACTACCCATTTGTGACATTGACTCCAAACTGCAATGGCTGGAGCACACTTCCTAAACTAGTGATAGGATTTAAGTTTTCTGGAAACTCCCACAATCTTCCAGCTGACACCTCTCCTCGAATTCCATGGGTGTTTTTCTCATAGTTCAAAAAGGGCTAAGAAGTATGCTTTCCTGTACTACCAACTGCCTTTCCTGCTAGTCGTCCTGTGTCACTTGCTAGAACTAAGCCGTGTGAAGCATCCATAACCTCCTGCCAAACATGTATAAAGGAAGAGACCACTCCAAATCTATAGTAACAAGGGAGGCACCTGCCAGTCGGTGGTGGCACTCAGGAGGCAAAGGCAGGCAGATCTCTGTGATTTCGAGGCCAGCCCTGTCTATAGAATGAGTTCTGGGACAGCCAGAGTTACACAGAGAGACCTTGTCTTGAAAAAACCAAAACCAACCAAACACACACACACACACACACACACACACACACACACACACACACAAAGGGAGGCCAAAAGAGGACTTCAGCTGACTTGAGCCCTGAGCAGGAATGATGGGGTCCTGCTGAGAATGCCTAGTGCCAAGCCATAGCTTTTCCACAGAATGGATCAAAAGCCAAGCAATGATAGCTCCAGCTGATCCATGTTCAGCCATATAGTAGTTATGTCTGGCCCGAGAGAAGCCTTCCATTTAGCCCTTAGAGAATTCTTTCTGTATCACGCAACAGATCCAAGTGTGCTGAAGTGAGCCTCCACACAGGTGAGGGATTTTACTCTGAAGCAGCATCAGTGGCTTCCAGGTTACTGTTGCTTTGACCCAGGGAGACTGTTACGAGATGACTGTCTCACAGGACCTGGTGGCACACACCCTTTATCCCAGCACTCAGGAGGAGAGGCAAGCAGATCTCTGTGAGCTCAAGTCAGTCAGGGCTATGTGGAGAGACCCTGTCTCAAAGACAGGGGAGAGATTATTGTCTACCTGGTGAGGTATTCTGCAAACAAGGAAGGCTGACTCTGGAAGCTTGGCTCTGGGGGCCAGAAGATCTGAGAGCTAGGGGTCTTCTCTGTTTTCTCTCAAGGTCTCTAAAGCAACCTCTCCTGCATATGTGTGGGGTAGCAATTAAGGATTTCCCTTTCTTCCTAAGTCGTGTTTTCCTGCAGAAAGCATTTGTTCTAAGATGTCCATTTTCAGGGGGTTGTTTTACCTTTTGAAAATGCCAAGTCCTGTGGAGGAGCTACTCTCTCACTTGAAGTTAAATCATTAAACCAGTTCTTTTGATTTTCGAGACAGGGTTTCTCTGTGTAGCCTTGGCTGTCCTGGAACTTTCTTAGACCAGGCTGGCCTCGAACCATTATACCAATTCTTCATCTTTAGATACTGTATGGAAACTAACTGAACAAAGATGGGTCTCCCTGGGGTTGGAGCATTCATGAGGAGTTCAGGTAGCCTGGCAGGAAACTCAGGGTACCCAGTCTTTGTGCCTGGTATTTAGGAAAGGTTTAAAGAATAGGGAGTGTTGACTCAGTAAAAAAAAAATTCCTATCTGAAGTGATTAAGTCTCCCCTCCCTCCCCCCTCCTCTTGTTAGAAAGGGTAGTCCAGGCTTGGCTTTGAACTCAT